TGGGGAGGAGGAGTGTCGAATGAGAAATGAGGAGGAGCAGCAGCAGGAAAAGGAGGAGGAGGAGGAAGAGCGGAACGAGGAGGAGCAAGAACAGGAGCAGGAGGAGGACGAGGAGGAAGAATAGGACGAGGAGAAGGAGGAGGAGGAGGAGTGAGGCAGAAGACTGAGGAATGAGGAGGGGAGGAACGAGGACGAGGAGTGAGGAATGAGAAACGCGGCTGAGGAAATCGACGAGGAGGAGGCATGAGGAATGAAGAACGAGGACGAGGATGAGACGAGGGAGTGAGGACTGAGGAATAAATAATGAGGAGAAGGAGGGGAGGAGGAGGAGGAGGAGGAGGAGGAGTGATGAATGAGAGATGAGGATGAGGAGCGACGATGAGGATGATTATGATGATGAAGCTGAAGATAAAGATGACGCCGATGATGATGATGATGATGATGATGATGATGAGGATGATGGTGGTGATGATGAGGATGGTGATGGTGATGGTGATGATCATGATGATGATGCTGATGCTGATGCTGATGCTGCTGATGACGACGACGATGACGATGCTGATGATGATGCTGCTGATGATGATGATGATGATGATGATGATGATGAAGATGAGGAGAACAAGGAGGAGGAGGAGGTGGAGGAGGAGGACGACGAGGAGGAGGAGGTCCCATCCGATGGAAGGTGCGGCCGACCTCTCGAGCGCGCCCCAGCAGAGAGGCGAGACAGAAGCTGTGCAGAAGGTAAGAGAATCCACAAGGCCCCCCATGAAGGCTTCCGAGGCTCCCAAGAGGCCCGCAGGAGTGCTCAAGAGACCCGCAAGACCCCCCCCTGCCGAAAAGATCGCCCCAAAAGCACCCCAGGCAGCTCTGAGTACGAAGCCCCGAGGGGCCCTGGGAACCTCCAGAAATACATCTAAAAGGCCCCCCCGACAATCTCCAAGAAACCTTTCAAATAGGCCACTTGTCCACGACCCGGCCACGCTGTGTGGGCTGGCGGAAAGAGCAAAAGAACTCAGTCATTACCTCTGATGTGGCGGATGCTCGTAGTGTCCTGGCCATGGTGCATGTACACACACATATATATAGTATGTATGTATGTATGTATGTTATGGTATGGTATGGCATGGTATGGAATGTAATGGTATGGAATGGAATGGTATGGTATGGTATGCATGTAGATATGTATGTACACACATTACAAGTCTATACTTGCATTACCCCGGACCCCCCCCCGGGACACCCCAACCCCCCCCCCCCCCCCCGCGCAAACCCCCCCCCCCGATTACATGGGGCCCCTGGGACCCCCAGGACCCCCCGGATCCGTGGCCCGGGGGATCCCCTGGACGTCCCTGCAGGAGGCCCCCCAGGCGTTTCAGAGCTCCTGGAAGCCCTTGCTGGGCCCAGGCAACGGGCCGAAATCGGTGAGGAGGGCGGCCGGACGCCTCCCCGAGGGCCCGAAGTGGCCCCATACACCCACCAGACGCCCGAAGACGACCCAAAGAAGACCCCCAAGAGGCTTCCAAAACGCAGAAAAACATGGAACGTCCAAAGTTTTTGCATGATTTGGGGAATGCCTGTTCTTCGGTATTTTGGTTGTCCGAGACCGCCTGGAAGACTCGGAAATCGCTCCAAAACCTTGCGAAAGGGCTTCCAGGCAATCCAAGAGAGCCCCAAGAAGGCCATAATAAAGCCGTGAGAAAACTTCCGTGAGGCCCCCCGAGGCTCTCCAAGGAGGACCCCCCGCAAAAAGAGCTGAGGATGGGGAAGGATTCGCAGGATAGTGCGAGAATGAGGGAAAAGAAGCGTGGAGGAAGGACAACGAATAACATTATCACAACGGCGATGCCGGGAAAGGCAACATGGACTTATCGCTACATTGTCTGTTTGACCTTCCTGCAATTCTGCTTGTATGCCGAACTCCAAGGACCTAGATGCATGGCGCGAAGCGCCAATGCAGTCTTGGGACTATGTGTATGAATCCGTATATATAGATAAACATACATATACACATGTGTATATATATATATATAGATATGTCCGTCTGCCACTGATGCTACTGATGCTTCTGGAACGGTCAAATGGTATGAGGGGTCGTTGGGGAATGAGAGCGGCGAGGGATGATGAGGAAGAAGAGGAGACCGAATGGACATGGTGAGGAAACTCATACCAAGGAGTACGCACAGGAGGAGGAAGAGGGAGGATGGTGGAACAGCGTGGATGGAAGAGGAAAAAAGGGATGAGGGAGGAGAAGGATGGAGCGAGACTGGGAGGAGGCGGAGGAGACGGGGGAAGGAGGGAAATGAGGAGGGGTCCACATCAGCCCTGTAGGTCGTAGATGACTCAGGGTTTAGGGTTTGTCATGTTCCAACCCCCTCTTCTCCTTTGTGGAGGGGCTTGCTGCTGTCCCTACTAATCTACACCCCCTCCTCCCCCACCTGACCGGGGGCGAATCCGAAACCATGCCAACACCCCCGTGCCCAACATCCCAGTCAAAACCAATACAAAGTGCACGTTGCGGCAAAATCTGGATCATGTGCTGGCACCAAGCGGTCACGTAACTGCCATGTTTGACAAGGCCGAGCGGGGTGCGGGCACGTTGCCTGCCGTTCGCAGGCCCATCGTATCATCCTGGCCAATGCAGTTCACTATCTGGCAACGATCATTCGCGGGAGCCCCGTGATAACTTCGCATTTAGGAAACCGAACTCTATACGTCGACGCTTTTTCCGGCCCTGCACTGAAACTCGCACAGGGAAGCGGATCCTGGTGTGTACGGGGTCCTGGTGTATACATTCGTCGTTGTTTCCTCGGGAAAGCGGGGTACAAGTATGCACCACACCAGCCCGATGTCGTCCTCGACCCTACAAAAATCCTGGGACTGAAAAACGGCCCGCCACTGGTAATGTATATTCTCCAGTTTCCGAACATTGTTATTGATATGGGTGATGGGGGTGCCCTGTCACGCACGGCTTGCCTCGCGGGCGTCGCGCCCCTGGCTGGCGTCTGCATTGGTTCCCGATGATGCTCGATGGCGGCCCCTGCCCAGGCTGAGACTCGAGAGCTACCAGAATATGGTGGGAAGGCGGGCGGGAGTGAGCGAGATAGCCGTCCTTCGGCGGAGGGGGAGGGGTAGCTTGATCACTGCTCCTTTCTGATATACACCCCCTCCCCCACCTGACCAGCGACGAGCCAGGAACAATGCCCCCCCTCCCGCTATCCCAGGAAAAGACAATGCAACGTGTCTCTAGCGGCAAAATCTTGGGTCATGATGTCCGCGGGCCCCGCGAGCAGCCGGACGACGGGGGGGTGCCAGCAGATGGCCAACTGCAGGGCTGGACCCAAACATTGTTTTTCGTTCTGACTCCGTTTTGCTCGACCTGTTTTCCCGTGCCTCCCTGCCAACACGAAAAAACAGAGCACAGCGGAAATATAGCAAAACAGCGTTTAGGTCCAGCCCTGATTCGGCTACACGCAAGAGTGACCCTGGGTAAGAGTGACCTTTGGTGCGCGGTCTAGCGGGGGCCGCCTGGGGGGCCAAACACAGGCGCACAAGCTGGCGCCATCGCCTCGCACTCGGCAAATTTCGGCGATTGGGGGGCCCTCCCCATTGGGCCCGCACCAAAGGTCACTCCGGCCAAGGGTCACTCTTACGTCTAGCCGACTGATGGCCAACTGTGCGCTGGGGCCCCCCCCGGTCAACAAAAGAATGTGCGCCGCCACTCGCGGCTAAATCTGGATCGTGTGCGGGCGCCCCGCGATCACTTCTTCTCAGTGCCTCCGGACGCAGGGGCTGCTGGCACAGCGCCTGCTGCTAGCGTGCACCCGGGGTCTGTCTTGGCTTCCCAGTAGCTGCCCATCCAGAGACGACCACTGAAGAAGCTGGGATTCGGGTACCACTTATAGTATGTCGGGAGGGCGGTTGGGAGTGAGCCCAACAGTCTGCGTCTTGGAGAAATCTCTTGACCCCTCCCCCTCCCCCCTCCTGGATCTGGACGCGGGGGCGGCGACAGGTCAGAGGGCGCCAAGAAGGCCCCAAGAGACCCCCAAGATAGCCCAAGGTGGCCTCCAAGAAGGCTTAAGATAACCTCAAGGTCGCTCAATATGTCTTCCAACATACTCTAAAAGATCCCACGACCATTCCGAGACGGGTCCAAGTGGCCAGGGGAACTCTCCAGGACGCCCCCAGGAGGCCCAACTCCGTCCAAAACCTTTAGTAGTGCATCGACGGTTTTTGCTTTCTCCGAGACTTCAAGATGGCTCCAAAGAGGGCACAAGAGAGCCCCAAGAGGGGCTGTAGAGTGCTCCAAGAATGCCCCAAGAGCGCCCAAGAGCGCCACAAGATCGCCCCGAGAGACGATTTAGAGGCCCTCGAGGGGCGATGCTAGTTGAGGACTCTCCCTTCTTTGATCGATGTCCTCCAAGATGGCCCCCAAGGCTCCCAAGAGGGCCCCAAGAAGGCGCCAAGAGGTCCTTAAGGGACCCCCAAGATGTCCCCTCTGGCTACTTTACTTTGTGCTGGAAGGCCACAAGATGCATAGGAGCCGACGCGCGTAGTTAGGTGTGGTGGATTCGCTGGACGTTCGGTCTGAACCGTCCCGTGAGAGCCAGTGGGGGCACCATCCCCACGACCGGCGAGAGTGGAGGGAGGATGAGGAGGAGGAGGAGGAGGAGGAGGAGGAGGAGGAGGAGGAGGAGGAGGAGCTAGGAGGGGATGAGCGTCGGGGGGGAGTGAAGGGGAGGGAGGAGAGATTGGCGAGGGGGGGGGGGAGATCAGGGGTGAGGATCAAAGGAGGAGAAGGAGGAGGAGAGAGTGGGAGGGAGGGAGAAAGATCAGGGGTGAGGGCCAAAGGAGGAGGAGGAGGAGGAGGAGGAGGAGGAGGAGGAGGAGGAGGAGGAGGAGGAGGAGGAGGAGGAGGAGGAGGAGGAGGAGTAAGGTGGGAGAAGGGGCGTGCCTTGGAGCTGCGCAGGACGGCCGTGTAGGACGAAGAGAGACCGCACGCCTTCTCTTTCTCCCCCCCCGAGCCGTGAGGCTCGCTCTAAAAACCGTGCCGTCGCTCGCCGGCTCCGCGGCGGGTGCGCTGAAGGGGGGAAGGGGGGGGGCCAGGAAGAGAGGGGGTCGGCGGCGAGCCGCGGGGGGGAAGCCATGAGGAGGCACATACTGGGAGCTCGTCCGAAGAATTGAAGAGGATTGAGCCCCAGTGGGGGGGGGTCCGCCAGATTGGGCCTCGGAATAAGCGGGATCAGAGCCCTCCCGCTTCCCGAGGAGTCTTCTGAGCCTTCGCCGAAGGTGCGAAGGATTCTGAGAAGCCCCGCCGCCTTCTTAGAAACCCTGCCCCTTTCACTTCCCCCCAGGCTCGCCGCTGATATAAGGAGCCCCCCCAGAAACTTTACGCGCCCAGCTAAGTGCACGAATCTCCCCCACAAAATTTGCAGAGCCGCCCTCATGTCACGAACGCTCGCGGAACACGCGCTGTCTCGAAACACATGCGAATTCATGTACGCGCGCATCTTTGTAACGCTCCTGAGCAAGGGCGCCTAACTTCGCGCTTCGCGCTTCGCGAATAACTTCGCGCTCTCGCGCCACCCCCCGGGGGGGAAGGAGAGGATGAGGAGGAATCGGAGCCGAACCGCTAAGCGCACATTCCCTTCGCGCCCTCGAAGGCGCCCTTGCTGAGATAGGGAGGGGGGCAGGGGGAGTATTGAAGGAATAACTAGGCCACCAAACTTCGCACATCGCGCCCCGCGAAGCGAGACACGAGGCCACCTTTGCGCTCATCAGCGGCAGCTGCTCTGACCTGGACCGCGACGCGAGGAGCGCGACTTCCTTCACGCCCCAAGAAGATGGCATCCACGATATCCACACACAGTCCTCACCCCTGAAGGGCAACGTTAGTTGGCGGCGAGCAGAGGGGGGTAAGGGGGAGGGGAAAAAGGCTTCTTGGAAGGAGGCTGCCTCTTAGAAGGCGCCGGCCTTACACTTACAGAGAAGGCCCGCGCCTTCTAAGAAGCAGGGGTGCTTCCAAGAAGCCTTCCCCCCTCCCCCTGTCCCCTTCTGCGCGTGGCCGAAACACGCGCGATCCTGGGCGGGGTTGGCCATCAGGCCCCCGCCGGCGATCAGTGAGCAATTGGGGGTCGATGCGTTCCCCCGCGAGCCTGTCCCCCCTTGGAGGCTGCCCTGCGATTTCCTGGTCATATCTCGGCTCTACGGCGGCCGCTCGGGGCGACTCGGGCACCCCAGTATCCCGGAGCGATAGGACCCGCAAGGGCCAACGAAGCCTTTCTCACCCTCTCTTCGTTCGACCGCGATAACAAAGGCCTCCCAAACGCCGTGGAAAAACCGGGTCCCACATCGAGCCGCATCGCGGATGCAGCGGCGATGCGGTGCGATCCTCCGAGTCCACTGGCTCTGACCCCATCTTGGAGGCCTGGAGATGCACCCCCAGCTCGACGCCCCCCAGTCCTCAGCCCTTCACTTCAGCGTTCCCACTCTTGGCTTAGGTCGGGCATGTCCTCCTGCAGGCGGATTCTGAACGACGGATGCAAGCAGGCAAAACTGCTCAAACATTGCAATAACAAATGGTCGAAACATCGTACCCAGACAATTTTTACTATGTTTGACTACTCCTCCTGTGGAGGGACACGCCCGACTTCAATCTTGGCGGTGACCGCGCCCGCCGCTCCGCGGGGCGCGGCGCGGGCTCTCAGAGGCTGCCGCCCATGGCGGCCGTGGCCGCCTTCGAGGCGGAATCCTCCTGCCCGGTGTTCGGCAGGGCGTACAGGTTCTCGGTGTCGGAGAACGCCTCTGAAGAGGGAGGAGGAGGGGAAAGAGGAGTAGGAGGGGGAGGAGGAGGAGGGGGAGGAGGAGTAGGAGGGGGAGGAGGGGGAGAAGGAGGAGGGGGAGGAGGAGGAGGAGGAGGAGGAGGAGGAGGAGGAGGAGGAGGAGGAGGAAGAGGAACGCCTCCGAGGGGATCGCGAGCGGCGAACACATCCGTATCCGCGCCCTCGCGGTCCGGATTCTGGGTCGCGATCCCGCGGATATGCGCGGTCGCACGGAGAGGCTTTGCGCGGGGCATTCGCGACGGAACACTCCGCATCCACATGGTCGCGGCCCAAGGGCTCGGCCCGCGAGGCCACGGATACGGACATGTGTGTTCGCCCACGCGAGAGGGTCGGGAGAGGCGATGTCCAGTCGGAGTGCCAGCAGGTAGAGCGCCTTGGCCCCAACTGGATTGCCTTCAACTGGACGGCAAAAGGAAACGGGCCTTGCGCGAGATGGCGTAGCAATCTTACGCCGCGGCTTGCGCAGGCCGCCAGCGAGGCACGTTACATCGGATGCGCGGACGCTTACGCGCAACCTTCCGCGGGAAACTTACGCGCGAATGTCGGAGCCATGGACCCTGTTTTCTTCCGTCGCTGAACTGGACTCAGCGTCGCCCCAGAGGCCAAAGTCCAGTTGGAGGCCCTCCAATTTAGGGAGCCCGCAGAAGACGTACGCGCCCAACCACGTATCGCGAGGCTGGTCTCGCGAACTATTCGCGAGACCAGCCTCGCGATACGAACGCTCGCGCAATGCGCACTCTCGAAACTGACGTGAATGACGAAAAGAAGCAGGTCTTACGCGAGATGTCGTAACGACCTTACGCCGCGGCTTACGCGGGCCGCCGGTGCTGCATGCTGCTTTGGAGACGAGGGAGCTTACGCGCGACCTTACGCGGGCAGCTTGCGCGCCAATGTCGGTGAAGACGACCCCGCTTTCTGCGTCGCCCGCGAAGATTCATGTACGTGTGCACGTCGTTCATTTCTAATCGCGCTCATTTCTAGTTGTGCTCGTTTCTGATTGTTCCTGGCCCCCCAGTGGCCAGGAAGAGGCCCAGGACAGAAAAAATAGAAAAGAAAGGATCTTGGCCCCCTGCGCCGTGGGGAAGGCAGCGCCTCACCCAGACCCCCTCGGGTAATGAGAAAATCATGGCGGGAGTTTTTTCCATATTTTCGGTCGCTGGGGGCCCTTACTGGGCCTCGGGACCATCAAAAAACGACTCAGGATGAAAAACCAGTCCAGGAGAATGGGTCGAGACCCTTGAGGGTCGACGTTACGAAAAAATCATGACGTCGGGGGTCTGGGTATGCTTCGCGATAGCGGGTTACGCGCTCGTTATCGCCTGAATATTGAAAACGCTCCCGAATCACGGCGAACATTTTGGGCTGTCGTTTGTATCCAAATTTCGGCCTCTGGGGACCCTTCCTTCCCGGGCCCCGAGACCGTCAACACAAAGACTGAAGGTGCAAAGCTGGTGCACGGGAAGGGGGAACCTAGATCTCTGGGGACCCACGCTGTGACAAAAAAGCGCCGTCAGACGTCTGGGTTCCTCGGGTCGGCGCTGGACCGCCCTCCGCACTGACGTGGAGGCAGTGATGGGTCCTGGGGGAAACGGGTCCTAGATCCCGTGGCTTCTCCCCTGCTTGCCATAGCTCGGACTTCCAGCCCCCGTGCATTTTTCGGCCTCGTGCGCTCGTTCTGTTCGCACGGTGATCAAAGATGCTCCTCGATGGACCTCGCCGAGACAAGAAAGGACAACACGTCCGAGCGATGCCAAGCCTGGGACAACCTGTTCGGGGGCGGCCAAGAGGGGGGTGTCCGAGAGGGGGGGGTGCAAATCATGGCCGGCGGCATGTGCGCGGCCCAAGGGGTGGGTGCCAGGGACGTAATCCTCCTCCTCCTCCTCTTCCTCCTCCTCCTCCTCTTCCTCCCCCTCCCCTTCCTCCTCCTCCTCCTCCTCCTCCTCCTCCTCCTCCTCCTCCTCCTCACACACTTCCTCCGCCTACCCTGTCACGTTGTCCTTTAGCTCCTTCCTGTGATCACACATCCCGTCGCCATCGACGGCCAAAACCTTCAGGGTCGGCGGCACCGGCCGTAAGGCCTTCACAATAAGAAGAGACGCCATGAAATCTGAGGAAAAATCATGGCCCACGCCATGAAATCCCCCCCCCCTAGTCATCACCCCCCTCTTTGCTGCCCCCGACCTGTTCGTCCCGAGTCGTTTTTTGACGGTCCCGGGGCACGGGGAGAGACCCCCGGAGCCCGGCAGCCCGACCGCGGGCACCAGCCTCGGGACCCGTTTCCCTGGGGACCCGCCTCCTTCGTGGCGATCGATGAGCCGATTCTCCACTACCACTACCCTAAGTAGGAAGAGGGGGGCGGAGGAGGAGGAGGAGGAGGAGGAGGAGGAGGAGGAGGAGGCGGAGGCGGAGGAGGAGGACCTCCGCGTCCTCCCTTCTGTCCGATCTATGGTGGCAAGGATGGACAATTGGCCCATCAACGATCCCCACCATCGCCCACTCCCGGGCGGGCGTCGGAGGCGCCGCCCGCGGGGTGGGGAGGGGGGGGAAGTCCAGCGACGAACCAAGAGCTCCGCGTGTACCCAGTACAGTTTACCCCTCGGTCGGAAGAAGTAGGTCGAAACACGAAGTAGGAAGGCGTTGACAGACGATTGGGTGTCCGCCCTCCCCCGAAGGAGGAGGGAAGAGGGGAAGCCACTCGATCCTTGAAGTAGGAAGGCGCTTAAAGTGGATGGGAATCTGGAAATCCGAAAACACATACTTTCAACGACCGATGGGTATGCTTGTGCATGTTTGTTGGTCCTCGGGCCTCGCAACGGGCCTTGACGAACAACGTGGTCAGATGGTCTGCCTCGTAGGTCTTCTCGTCGTACTTGGTGTACTTCAGCTCGACCTGCTTCGGGCTTTGGCCGATGTTGAAGGGGCGGCCGTTGACCTGCACGCGGCCCTTGTTCACCTTTTCGGGGAACACGCCGTCGGCCGGGTGCATGAACTGGACGGTGCCGTCCTGTATGGGCGGTCGTGCTTCGTGACCCGTCCCCCATTTTCAGAGTGTTAGCTCATTCATACAACCGTATGTGAACATACACCGTGAGCCCTCACCGGGACCGTCGCCTGGAAAGATCGAGCTGCCCTTCCCCAAGCCCCCTCCGGCCAAGGGTGGGTTCAAGGAACAGTGGCAGACCAAGGAGGTGTCCAGATTCCTTCCCCGAAGCCATAAGCGGAGTTGGAGCGCCAGGGAGAGCCCCGAGTGGTCAGAGGGCAAGACACAATCGGACATACTTCCTCGAGGGCGGGCTAGCTCCGCGGCGGGTGAACATGGCGACCTCATGTGCTGTGCTCCCTGCTACCGAAATACCGCGTGGCACCCCTGTCCATCCTTCTTGAGGCGGTAGATCTTGTAGTTCTCGATCTTCATCTTGCGAAGCTGCTTGCCGAGGGCGATGCACTGCTCTTTCTTCCTGAAGTAGCACAGGTTCTCACCCTTGTTCATGACAGCGACGCCGAGGATGGGCATCTCGAACACGAAGGCCTCCTTGGCGGTCCACGTGATGGCGTGGCGCTCGCGGGTGCCCTTTGACATGTAGCCGTTGGTGCCCCCCATGAACATCGGGAACTTAGGCGACTCCAGCAGGTCCTCTGGGACACGAAGAAAAAACAGCAAGAAGAGAAACACTCGGATTCCAGCATGAGGAAACGGGTCCTGTGGGAATCGGGTCCTGGACCCCAGAGCCTTCGCCCAGGACCAAGTCTTCATCCCGAATCGTTTTCGGACGGTCCCAGGGCCCGGGGACGGCCCTGAAGCCTGAAAGCTGCGCAAAACCTCAAGACCTGTTTCCCTCAGGACCGTAACTGCCCCAACACGCCACACGCAACCCGTACGTAGCGTGCTGACATGGAGCTTAACACAGAGATTGAACACTTACGTTTGGCGCGATACGTGCGCCCAAACGTGGGCCAACACGTTCAACCAACTCGCAGCGTCTCAGCACGGACTTCTTGACCACGGTACCTGTTGCGCTTCGGCACGGGCGCATCAGGGCAACCAAGCCCAGGGCCCGTGCCCTTCACGGCGAGGATTCCCATGGACACTCTCTTGGCAGCGCGCACAAGGGGGTAGGGGGAGGGGGGGAGGCTGCTTAAAAGGAGGCTGCTTCTAAGAAGGCACCGTCGTTACATCGACAGACAAGGTCCGCGCCTTCTGGGAAGCAGAGGTGCTTCTAAGAAGCCTCACCCCTCCCCCTACCCCCTTCTGCGCGTGGCCGACAACACCCCTCCCCCTCGGCGCGCAACGCGCGCTGCATGGCCCCCGGCGTCCCGTGCCGGCGGGCGGGGGCTCTGCCCCTGGGGACATCCGACAATTCATGCACATGCATGGTGGTGTTCTTCGGCGGCGCGCCCCGGGGAAGTGAGCCTGGGGGCCAAGGTTCTAGGCTCTCGGCCTTCTTCGACCTTCCTCGGAGGTTTTCCGGCCTCCGGATGCGCTTCAGCGGTTCGAGGTCCCAAGGGTGCCAGGATCGTCCCGAACGGCCGCCGGAGACCCGAGTTAGGACCCGAAGCCCAAACTCGGCGTCGCGCCGAAGGGAGAGTGAGAGGGGGCAGGCCTTCTCAGAAGGCGGCGGGGCTTCACAGAAACCCTCGAGTCTTCTGTGAAGCCTTTCTGTGTGTGTGTGTGTGTGTGTGTGTGTGTGCGTGTGTGTGTGTGGTCTTTGGGTCATAACTTGGGTCTCCGGCGGCCGTTTGGGACGATCTGGGCACTCCCGGAAAGCCCTCGACGAGGCGCAGCTGCTGGAACGCATCTCGGGGCTGGAAAACCGCTCAGAACCGACGACGACGCCCGAACACCTCGAACCTCGCTTCCCCCCCTCGCTCGCCGCCGACTTTTCTTCCTCGAGACCCTCTGCCTTCCCCCCCTGGACTTGCCGCTGACATGTGGCGTTCTGGCTCTCCGTCCTCTGGGCGGGGGATGAACTCGATCTCGAATTCCTTCTTTGCCTTCTTCGCCTTGGCGGGCTTCTCCTCCGCCTCCGCGAGAGAAGGAGGAGGAGGAGGGAGGAGGAACAGGAGGAGGAGGAGGAGGAGGAAAAGGAGGAGGAGGAGGCCAAGGAGGAGGAGGAGGAGGAGGAGGACGAGGTGGAGGTGGTGGAGAAGGACGAGGACGTGACGAGGAGAAGGTGGTGGAGAAGGAGGAGGGGGAGGAGCAGGAGGAGGAGGAGGAGGATTGTTTTACCGCTTCGCTGCTCAAAATCCCACGTGAGGCACGCCCTCGAGGATCGCGAAGACCACGAGGACGAAGCCGAAAAAACACGTACAGCACGAAGGACACTCCATACCAGAAGCCACCATCCGACAGGCAGACCACGAGCAAGGTCACTTCGATGACAATCACTGTTGGTGGCACTCTGCGTTTGGATCTGGCGGCTTGATCGTCGAGGAACAAAGCTGCTCCTGCGAGAAACTGAACGGTGCACCACGAGGAGGCGAAGGCGCCGGCTGCTCAATGCGAGGCAGCCCCCTGTGCTTCGAGGAGCCCGTCGACTCCTCGCCCAGACCACATAATACCGAGCACGGCGAGGCGGCGAACTTGAAGCCCTGCGACTCTTGCACAAGGAGCTGCTCGTCGGAAAGGTGCGTCACCTCGTCCACGACATGTGCTATGACGGACTCCGCATCGTCCACGCCCACGGGGGAGCCCTCCAAAAGCTCCCAAGTACCAAGGGCAACCCCTAGCACGCACACGGAGGTGGATCCCGTGCTGCCAGCCTCCTCCAGCGTCGTGGGCAAGGCTTTCTCCACAGAGTCCGAGCAGGTATCGTGCACCAACGGTAGGGACTCGCAGACCTCCCAGTGCCCAGGCCAGACCGACGGGACCGTGGCCGAGCCTGCGTCGAACTGGTACTCGAGCTCCTCGTCGCCGCCGCCCATGTCGCCCACGCCGCGAGGCACGAACACCTCGGCGTCCGCGGAGAGGCTGGCAGCGCCACGACCCACGTCGTCCCGTCGCACTTCGAGCCGGGGCCCGCCCTGGGCCTGGCGAAGCAAGGCAACGTCCGCCACCGCCACGTCGATGCCCGAAGCGTCAGCGTGGACGGCGACGTTGCGCCGCAGCCTCTCCAGCCACGTAGGCGGCTCGCCTCGAAGCGTCGCCAGCAATGCGGGAAGAAGTGCCCGTAGACGCTGCGCAACCTCCGCGTCGCCGACGACAGTAACCAGGGACGCCTCCGCCGCACGCAGCAGCCCGTTGAGGCGGTCCACCTCTCCCGACAACTTGAGGATCGCCCTGTCCGCCGAGGCACGAGCCCAAGCACGGCGTGCCTTGCGCTCCGCAACAGAACAGCGCCCTGGGTGCCGGCCAGAGGCTGGGCGCGCATCACCCGCGCCCTCCCGCGCCATTTCCTCAAGCACGACGAGCGAAGCCAACGACTGCAAGCAGGAGGGACATGCCGAGCCAGCTTGAACAATAGGGCTGTCGCTCGCTGTTGAGCGGCTTGAGTCAAAATGGCTACGGAGGGAGGAGGAGGAGGAGGAGGAGGAGGAGGAGGAGGAGGAGGAGGAGGAGGAGGAGGAGGAGGAGGAGGAGGAGGAGGAGGAGGAGGAGAGGCAGGAGGAGGAGGAGGAGGAGGAGGAGGAGGAGGAGGAGGAGGAGGAGGAGGGGAGAGGGAGGAGTGGGAGGAGGAGGAGGAGGAGGAGGAGGAGGAGGAGGAGGAGGAGGAGGAGGAGGAGGAGGAGGAGGAGGAGGAGGAGGAGGGAGGAGGAGGAGGAGGAGGTGGGAGGAGGTGGAGGAGGAGGAGGAGGAGGAGGGAGGAGGAGGAGGATGAGGGGATGAGGAGCAGGAGCAGGAGGAGGAGGAGGAGGGGGGAGGAGGGAGGGAGGAGGAGGAGGGAGGGAGGAGGAGGAGGAGGAGGAGGAGAAGGAGGAGGGAGGAGGAGGAGGAGGAGGAGGAGGAGGAGGAGGAGGACGAGGAGGAGGAGGAGGAGGAGTAGAGCCGGAAATCCCACCATCCCTCTGGGCGTAGGTGGTTTTACGTTTTTTTGGTTTGTTGTTCCTCTTTCTCTTTCTCTCTCTCTCTCTCTGCCAATACCCCTCCTTCCCTGCTTCGGGTCGGGGTGTGCCCCTCCCCCTACCCCCTCTCCTGGCGCGGGTAGTGAGAGCGCCAAAGACAAGATGGCTCCAAGAGGGCCTCAGAGAGCCCAATACGGTTTCAAGTGCTCTCCGAACCCCCCAAGGACCCCCGCTAAGAGGCCAACATCATTCAACAACCTACGGACAATCAATGTTTTTCGCCTTCTCGCCTTTTCGCTTCCGATGGGCTCTTGAGGCCTCGAGATGGCCACAATAAAGCCCGCAGAGGGGCCCAAGAGGGCCCAAAGAGCGCCCAAGAGCGCCACAAGAGGGCCGCTAGACATCATTTTTGAGCCTCTGAGGGTGGGACCTGAATATATTACCCTCCCCTTTTTGAGCCACAGGGGCCAAGACGGCCCCAAGAGGCCCCTCAGACCCCCCCAAAGAGCCCCAAGAGGGCCCCTAGACCCCCCAAAAGAGCCTCAAGAGGGCCCCCAAAGTACCCCAAGTGGCTCCGCGAGGACCCCAAGAGAGACCCAAGACGGCTCCAAGAGACCTCCGACAACACACTTCTAAGGCGGTTGTTGCAATGCAGGCTTCTACGCTTCCCTGATCAAGGCAACTCGCCTGGCGATCTGTTTCTAGATGGGCTGGTGGGGATACTTTTTGGTCGCGGCCGCGGGCGAGAGCGCACACGGCGTGTCGTAAGTCCGGGGCGCAGGCCTACTGGTGGGGATACGCGAAGCGCTAAGAATTCAATTCGTTTCACGAGCCCTTCAAAACCGCTGTGTGTGACTGGAGCGAATATCTGGCTCGGGCTGAGGCAATCCAGACATTGCTACACCCCCCGACGTCATTTGAGCGACGAGAAAAAGCGGGCCACGCATTCACATGGGGACCTTGCGCGGTGGGTTACGCGGGCCGCTAACGCGGCACTTTACATTGGAAGCGAGGGCGCTTCCGCGCGACCTTACGCGGACCACTTGCTCGCGACAGTCCGCGCAGACGAACCTGCTGCTCTGCGTCGCCCATATGCGACCGCAGGAAAAAACCAGAAAACCGACCGCAGCGACGACAAGGGGCCTGCAGCGAGTGGGCCCAGGAAGTGCCAGGCGGGGCAGCAAGGCAACACTCGGGAAGTGGTGGTGTGCCTCTGTTCGTCCGCCGCTCGCGGTGCTGCCCCGCCTCCCGGTGGGGGCTGGAGGATGGCGCTGCCCCCCCTCACTGGTGCAGCAGGAACACGGTCGGGAGGGAGGGGGCGCAGCGCCGCTCCCATCACGTGAAAAAACACTTAAAGCCAGCGGGCGCAGCGGCGCGAAAGCGGTCAGGCGCCGGTCGGGCTGCAGGCGGGGCGTGCCGACAACGAACTGAGGCACAACGCGAGAAAGAAAAAGAAGGGAGAAGACCCGCGAAACAAGAAACAAAGAAAACACAGTCTAGACATACACTTTCGGAGGTCCGCGCAGATTTCTTGGGTCTGTTTTGAACCCCCCTCCCGCGCGCCAGGGGCGGCGTCGGAGGCGCCGCCCGGCGGTTCCAGCGCAGATCCAAGATCGTGGATACGTGAAACCCGAGCTTCGGGGGACTCAGATCTGCCCGACAGGGCCGTCGGAAAAATGGCGCGAACTGGCCTGGAAATTGACGCGAACTCCCGCTGCAAACACCTCACGTGGGCAAACTCCGCGCGGGGCCGTTGACAAGAACGGCGGCCATATACGTTTCTGCGGCAAGAAATCCGCGCGGAACGCCGACAGTTTATCCTTTCGCTTCGAGGCGGCCTGGGGGTTTGAGCTGGTTGGGCCCTTCGAAACGCGATCAAGAGAGAAGGAAGAAGGCGAATCCGCATGAAGTCGGCCCCCATACACTTCCCGGGGTCCATCGGAAGCAACGTTTCACCCAAGATCCGTTTTCGACGTTCCCGAGGCCCGAAGAAGACCTCGAGAGGCCGAACAACAACAATCATTTTTAAGACTGTTCGCTCTTATCCGACCGCGTGTCATTCAATATGCGTATCCCAAACCCTGGATACCCGCCCTCTTCGTCTTCGATCGTGCCCCCTTTTGGGGGTACATTCAGATATTCATTTCTTGCCACGTGTGATTGGTGAAGCCCTTTAAAACGAAGGGAAACACATAACGGGGGAGATGAGGACGAAGGGATCGGAGGAAGGAAGGGGAGGGGCAAAAAGGAGGGAGGACGATGATTTGCGATGCGGGTGGCGATTCAGCTTGCGCCATGGCTTGCGCCAGTCCAACACAGGTGAATAAAAAACTTTCGCCATGGGTCGCGCCATAAACAGCGCCACGTACCACCCCCTTGAAAGAACAAATCGTGGATACCCCCCACGGGGGGACGTACAGCTGCGAACTGGTGTCAGAAACCAAAATTTCGTGGAACCCTGGGATGTTGTGAGAGTGGGGCGCAAGGATACTGAGAACTGCAGCCGTGTCGAAGGGAGCGCGGGGATGTGGAGTGGATTGGGATGGAGTGGACAAGAGTAGGGTCTCAGGAGGATGAGCGGCAAGGAGTGGAGAAGAGGAACCCTGAGGAGTGCGGACGAGCGGGGGCGCACGGAGGAATCTGGACGAGGGACTGAGAATCGGAGGTGGGGGGTTGAAGTCGAAGTGGGGCGGAGAGCCCCCCTACCGTGAAATCGATTTCGGTTTCGTGTTCGTGCGTGCCATGCGTGCGGGCGAGGCGAAACTGCGTGGGCGGGCGAGAAGAAAGTCTCCTGTAGCTGAGGCGCGGCCGGACCAAATGATTCCGGACCGACGTCCGGTGGCCCGCGGTGTCCCACCGGTGTCCCGCCTCCGGCTGAAGCGCGGCCGCGCGGCCGGACCAAATGATTCCGGACCTGCGTCCGGGGGCCCGCGGTGTCCCGCCTCCGGCTGAGGCGCGGCCGCGCGGCCGGACCAAATGATTCCGGATGTTTCCAGTTGCCCGCGGTGTCCCGCCGGTGTCCC